TTTAAAGTTATAAAGGACACTCTTCTTTATTCACAATAATTTCTTTGATATTAAATATAGAGACTGAGAAACTTGAAACAGATCTACTTAGAGCAATAATTTAATAGATTTCATGTCAGATTTTGTAGTTACTAGGGTAATAGTGTTATATTTTCAAGGGTTGTGAAACATGTAAAATACATATGCAGGTGATAAAGATGATAATGACAAACACGACCTCATTTGATCCTTGCAAAATCTTTTGAAACAGGTTATGTCTCTACCCCTGCTTTATGAACAAGACAACAGGCTGAAAGGAGTTAAATATTACTCTACCAAGTGATAGAATTGTGGTCTCCCATCACAAACCCATTCATTCCTTTACTCAATACTGAATGCATATAGTTGTGAAAGGCTAAGTTAAGGGCAGACCAGTATTGGTAACTCATAGAGCTTACAGTCTATCAGGTGAGAATAAAATTAGTTACATCATCAGATTTCAAAAATGTTATGATAGTAAATCATGGTAAAAGGTACAAAGGAAAGTTATTCAAGTCTTTTATCTCTGATTCTACTGTTCCTTTCTCTGTATTACCAAGTATACTTCCTCAGATATACAACTCATCCCTCAACTTCCTTTTGAATCTGCTAGATAAAGTTCATTTCAAAAGAAAGCAGAAAAGGAGGAAAAAAAGGAATTAAAATCACAAACTATTTTCACATATCATAGAAGCCCTACAACTTTAGGGACTGTGCATTACCTTTAAGCAACTTAAAAGGTTAACTTCAACTTAAAATGAGCAAATGCCAGATGAGTTTCTGTTCTTATCCAATCTAACAAAAGGTTGATCAACAAACACTGGAAAGAAAAATAACTTTCCCATTATTACACTTTTGATTATATTTTTAAAAATTTATTCTATTTATGTATGGATACAAGAACTGGGGTGTAGGCCAAAGGTGAGAGAGGTAAGGGAGAAAAAGAGTGGGGTGCAGAGCAGGCAGATCTATGGAAATACACTGCTGAGATGAGCAGCAGGCGAAACAGGAGAGGTCTGCTGTGCTGTTGTAGGTTAGCTCCCTACCCAGGGATAGCACTCTTGCTGCAGTGGTTTCCATAGCTTGATAGGGCTAAGACTTTAACCTCTGTGCCACCAGGGAGGCCCTTGATTATAATATTCATTAAAAACTTCACATTACTTAGTTCCTAGTCTATAACCAAAACCACATCAGAACAAATTTTTTTAAAAATCAGATATTTCAAGTTAGTCTTGGGCTGTAATCTTCTGTCATATAAGCAAACAGCATAGTTCATTTTAAAATATGCCATTTCATAATAACTAAATGTCAAGAAAATTTGGATGAAGTCTTTTAAATCTTAAGAGAAAAGATGGCTGCCTTTCAAAGTTACAAGTCTGTAGGAAAGGAATATTGAAAGTATGTATTTAGAACACAATTGTTCAAACAGCAAAATAGTAAGAAAGCTGTTCAATTATATGAAATAAAAACTCAAAGGCAGATCAATAGAGAAGCAACAAATTCATGCCTAAAGAGAAGTGGAAACTGGTTTACGTTAGCTCATTTTTAAAGATGCCTACTTACAGAGATGCCTAAAATCTGATATTTCAATTTTTTAGAGTTTAGCAAGGCATCAGCTTGTCATTATATTTTATTTTCACAGTTATGGGAGTTATTTCTTTGACTATGCCAAACAGAGAAGGGAGGTTTGGAAAAAAGAAAAATACTACAAGAGATAAATATCTTACAATTATACCAATCTGTACTTTCTTCTGAACTTAACTTTGAAGACATTCCCACCTTTAGGATTCTTAATTAATTTTTACAGGTTTTTCAAAATATGCCATCTGGCATCTGGTATTTCATAAAGTATCTGATATTGTTAATTACTATTTCCTAAATGTCTGTTTCCACCATCACACCATCTATCCTAATTTTCTTCCTATCCTGATCATTCCCACTCAGGCTACACTTATCTTCCCTCTATAGTTTCATAAGTACTCTCCAGAACTTTATTCTTTCTAGGTGCTATGCTATCTTTGTATATATTTCCCTCTGTAGTTACATCCATCCATCCGTGCAGCTCTCTGTAATCCAGATCTATGTATAACCTTGACTAATTAATAGGCACACGTCATCAAATCTCACACAATCTCCTTTAAAAGAAATCTTTCTCCATTCTGTCATTACCTTGATTCAGGTTCTTATCATTTCCTTCTCTGACACAGCAACTGCCTCCTTACTAGTCTCAAAACCACCAAGCTGAACTCTGCTAATGTAAATTTTCTGAAACTGAAATGTGACCAGGCTATTCCCCTGTCAAGTATTATTGTATAAGCCTCTAAGGCTTTCAAAGGGAAGAAGTTCAAATTGGCTTAACAGGAAGGTCCTGCCAGTAGCTCTACGCTCTTTCTCTGCCATCACACACATCCTTTGGCTCCAGCCTAACTCTGTAGTCCAGATACAACCATCAACTATAACCCTTCCTCGATTCTGCCTATATCAGCATATTCTCCAACATAATAATTATGAAAATTGGTATTCCTTCCCTTAGGAAGTTCCCCTTATGTTTTTAAGCTGGTGTAGTATTAGAACACTTTGTGTGGGCTTTCAGTGCTTACATAGAATTTTCTATGAATCTCTTCCCAGTCAATCAACTCACATAAAGGCTTTTTCTCTATTACACTGTGAATAGTCTCCAGAGAAAGAACACTTTGTAGTCCCTGTACCTGACACAGAAAAAGCACTTAACATTTGTTCTTTAAGAAATAAATGGGAATTAAATGAAAATTTATATTTTGGTGAAATTGTCCTAATAATAATGAATTTTCTCCTCTGACCACAATAGGCAAATCCTTTGCTGTCACTGTAACTGAAAAGAGAATGAAAATTTTATTTTCTAACAGACCCATAGTGACCAAAAGCCCTATCACCTCATCTCTCACTAGCCATGAATCAAAAACTGATTTTGTAGTTAAATATAAATCTATTTAAAAACACGGGTTTGTCCTTTGGGAGAAGAAAAAATGACCCAGTAAACTAGGTTATTTAAAATATTTCCCAATAAACTTCTAGTCAAATTGGACCTTGCTCCACCACTAACACCCCTTTTTAATAAAATTCCCCACCCACCTTCACCTTCTTTAATTCAGTTTTTAGCCTTAGAGCAAGCATTATTTGTATGTGTTGGAGGGGCGGGGTGAGGGGGAGCAGAGGAACAAGAGACAGAAGATGGAGGAGGGTGCTAGAACAGTAGTAAAGGCTCATTTCTTTCATCATCAACAACATCTTCTCTATATTTCATTTCGTTTCCACATCTATGTGATCACATTCAAGTCCGATGAACTGATTTGGGAAAGGTCCTCAACAGATGATCTCCAATCTCTTTTCCATAGCCTTGAGGTCAAGCCAAAATTAAAGACTGATTTAAAATGTCCCACAAGGGAAAAGGACTGTTTAGAGAACAGCTGAAGAGAAAACTGCTTGGAACTTTCAGGGGAGCTAGAAATTACAATGAGTTCTATGAGGTCAATGACCCAAAAGTAATGACTGCAATGATTCTATCCAGAAAAGACCTATCCCCCTTTCAATTTGCACTCCGTTCTTTTCCTCCTCCATGAGCACAAAACAGTCAACAAAATTAGAATACTGACAGATTAAAGTTTGAAGAGAAATATTTTTCTAACATTCTGCATTTGTTGCACCAAATAAACGAATTTCAGACTACCATCCATCTCTCTTAAACAACAAACACATAACTAGGCTAAATTTTATCACAAAAAGGCACTGTTGACTAGCATGAACACCACAGTACAGGAATAAAACACACATTACAGTTAAGTTTGCAGATGAGTAAGAAGAGTAGACATCAAATAATTGTAATGAAATGTGTGATTAACCCAAAGTTCAATCCACTCCCTACAAAGTATAGCACTTCCTTCCCTGGGGGGGGGGGGGGGGACGACTATTTGGAGACTTGCTCAATTCTTTTCAGTTATTTAGAACTTTGTAGCCTGACAGTAATTCTATTCAAATAAGGATTTCCAGGCCTTACCTGCCAGAAATTCTTTTTTTTTAGTTTGGAATGTAGCCTGGGAATTGGTATGTTTACTTGAAAAGTTCCTCAGGGACTCTGATCAGCAGCCAGGTTTGTGAGCAGTGCTACATACCTTTACAAGAACAGCTCCTTCCAACAATTTTCATTGACATGCTAACAGTCTACAAAATTAGCCAATTTCATCCTATAAACATGACAAACCAAACAGCTCGGTACCTTCTCACCTAATCCTTTTGTGTTCCTCCCACCAAGTTCATTCCTTTTATAACTGTCTTCCTTTCTTAATCTCCACCCTCGTAGTAACCAAATATTAAGCAGAAGAGTAAAACAAAGGGAAACTATCACTTTAATACCCGGATATCCTGTCAGTTCTGACATGAGAAGAAAACCCACTCTAGACCATACTAACATGTACTGAATTTTAAAGGGCACAAAACACCTTCGAGGTGGTCTGTGAAGCACAGTTGGAAACTTAAGTTATATAACTGCTGTTGGCTCCGGAAAAGGATGCATCAAGGTTCTGAAAGAAGAAGGGAAAACTTTAAAGCAGAACAGGTCAGGGAGGGGGCCAGCGGGCCCTTCGGCCGGTTTTGACACTCGACACCCCAGTCTTCCTTCAGGTTGCTAGGAAACAAAAAGGCTCCACATTCCCTGCGATTCCTCCCCGGCCTGGCGGGGAGCGGAGGGGTCTGCGGGGTCAGAAGACGTCGCGGGGACAGTCCGCCTGGTCACCGCCCCCGGACGCGAACGCCAGGGAACGCCAGGGGCCGGCAGCTCCCGCGGAGGGGCTGGGGGCAGCAAGCCGGTTCCGAGCACGGAAGGAGGGAGCGGCCACAGCCGGCCCCCCGCGCCAGTGGAGCCCGCCAGGCCGCAGCCGGGGGTCCGGGGCCGGATGCCGGGCCTAAACGACCACCCGGCTCCGCGCGGGGAGGGAGCGTCTACTCACACGTGCTGACAGGCCGCGGTCCGCACGGGTGTTTTGAGCACCTCCTGACAGACGGGGCAGTAGAAATCATCTTCGGTGTAGGACGTGGCCGCGGAGAGCTCCTCGGCCATGGCGAGGGATGGGGGATCAAGGCGATGGCGGCGCTGGCGGCAGCGGCCGAGGTGGCGGTGGCGGCCCGGGGCCCGACTCCCTGCGCGAACCCGGAGGGGGAGGGGAATCGCGTCAGGAAGCGGCTCGTGCCAGGAAGGGGGCGGGGCCCTCGGCGGGGCGGGGCCGAACACCGAGACGCCCAGGCCGCACGCGCCGGGCGAGGGTGGGAGCCCCGGGCGGCGCTTCCCGCGGGGTCAGGGCGGGAGGGCGGTTCCTGGCGGGACGCCGAGGTGTAGACACCAGCAATCGGGTGCACTTTTCGCTTCCGCCCAGGCTCGGGTGATGCAGAGGGCTGGCCGTCTGGCCCAGCCGGTGCGTCCCCAGGCCGCGGGCTCCCGCCAGAGGCGACTCCCTTACCTGCTACTGTAGCGGACGCGGCTCCGCCTTTGCCCCCTATTCGCCACCCGCCGCCCTTTCCCGGGCTTTTCCTCAAGACTCCTTCTCCCCACCCCCGCCCCAGTCTCCAGCCCTTCTCCGGCTCAGCGGTCCTGCTCGGGGCCACCACCTACCTTGCCCGCGGCCCGGCCCCGCCCCACACCTCCCGCCCCGCCCCGGCACACTCTGCTTGCGTAGATGCTCACTTAGCCCCGGAGCCGCGGGGCCGGTGGGGCCGCTTCCCCAGCGCGTCGAGGTGGCGGGTTGGCCCGGCGCGGTGCGCGGGCTAGTCCCACACTGCCGCCTTCGCAATCGGGCCCGAAGGGGAGTAGCGGGCTGGGCGCGCACTGCTTATCCGCCCGGGACGGGGTCGGGCCAGAGGCTCATGGTGCACCGGGATCCCACCGCTCCTGCCACCAGCCCGCCCGTGGCATTGCGCTGCCAGCAGCCTGCCGGGAAGATCTCAGAACGCGGGAGGGCAGCGAGCACTCCACAGACGAGTGGGGAGAGGCGGGGAAAGGCGGTGTCCATAGCGACCAGCGCGTGGTGCGCGGCGCCTTCAGTAGCTTGTGACATAAACAGCTGGATGCCCCCAGCCTCGCAATGGACAGCTCATTTCTCCCCGTTCCGAAGAAATATACCGTGTTTTCGCCCCCACGAGCTTTAACTCGAAAAATATGATTCCCTAATATTAAAGATGTGTCTTTTACTCAAGTAATGTTCATTTGGAATTCTTACCCTTTAGGCGGAAAACTAGAAAATGAGCTGTAAGGATTCCAACTTTCCCTCCTTAATAGTAACTGGTGAGTCCCAATCACTGATGCAGTCTTCCACCCACTCCTTTTGTTTTGGGTTTTTGTTTTGATAGCTTTGAAGAAAAATGAGGCCTGGGACCTGGCATTTCACCATCGTTATTCACTGACTTAAAATATGTTTTAATGGACCCCAATTTCCACTTACATCAACACAATCAAGAAATCTCTAAGACAGTGTCACAATCACGTTGACGGGAGCTAAGGAAAACATGGAATATCACTTGAAACACCGACTTCTGGGAGAAAAAAGTTTCATGATAATGCTTGTTAAATTTGCCGAAACATTAAATTTTTTATTAACAGTGATTATATTCAGGATAGGAAGTAAAATGATTGGATTTGTATGGACTTAGAAAAAACCTTGAGGAGGAAATGGCTGTCTCAGTACAGAGCTTTCAACATCTCTTTTGCTGGTAAAAGCAGTTGATTGAAGAAGTGAAACGATCAGATGGGGGGATACAGTGGGTAGGTGACTTTGTTTGTACCTTTTGAAAATGAATGAAGACCGGTGCAACTTTACTAGTCTTTTTTAACCTTGTCCATTCCGATTGGTCAGTAGTCTCTCTGGAAAGACTGGGCACTCATTTGGTTCCAGTTTTAAATATTTTCAATATTCTCTTCACTGTGTACCTAAATGACCATTCAACTAAGACAAGTAACTTCATTGTTTGAGCCTACTTTTAACATGTTCTTTTTTTTTTTAAGTGAGAAGCATTTTTCTGTTCCTGAAGAATTAATCCCAATTTCTCCTTTTTCCACCTCACCCCAATATACACATAGGCAGATAAATGCCTCAACTTAAATAGAAAGATGATGTGAATAAGAATAGGAAAGGGAAACTATAGCAGGTACATTCTACCTACTAATAAAATACAAAAACTCCAGCAAATCCTGATTTTTGGTTAGTTTCATTTCTTTTATTCCTGGCTATACATTTCAGGAGTCACTACTCATTCCCAGCCTAAGGGGAGGATGGACCATGATTGAGATGAGCCAATCATCCATGGTCCATTTCCATTTCTTATCAGTGGTGAAGGGATAGTCATTATGACCAAGGAGGTGTGAGGATTTTATTCTGATGGGCTCCAGCTAGTGCTTTCCTTTGCTGTTCAAAAATCAGGTAGTAATTTCCTGGCATCACCTTGTGGCATCACCTGTAGGCGTTTAAGACTAAATCACTACTAATCTTAAGAAGGTAAATACTATGAATGATGAAAAGTAAAGAGTGAACACACAAGGAATTGCACATTTCTCAAAATGCCTTTCTCCTGAACCTCTGCTGAAACAGTGTCATGAAAATGAACCAGTTAATGTTGACGGTGATGAAGCTACAAGATTAATGGCTCGGCTGTAATACACTGGTGATACTCAAATTCCCCAAAGACCAATAAACTTTTATGCAAAAGAAAACATAAAAGTAAACAATTTCACATCCACATCCCGATGTTTTATGTCAAGATGTGCTGTCTGGAACCATGCAAGCATCATGAAGCCATGAAAAGAGCAAACCAACCAGAAGCCAATGTGCTGAAAGTGGCAGAGCTGAAAGGTAGAAGGGAAATAGGTCCTTGGAGTAACAGAACCTTTTAATTAACCACCCATGAAACTGCTGTCTCCCTACCTGTTAAGCCCTTCTGGTTAAAGTTATTCTCGGTTTGACTCTTTACTTGGAGTCAAAAGTATCTAGGTTAGGCATTTGTGCACTATTCATTCTGTTTCCCACAAATCCAATGTACTGCTTTTTGTTGCTGAAACTCACTCTTGAAAATTGGTACCTGTTTTCCCTTGTCAACCGATTTTTCACTATATTCAGCCAGTGAGAGACATTGATGAGAGACTGAAAGGAAGATGTGTAGTAGCTTTCTCTCTTCCAAGGCTTCAGTTTCTAGGAGATTGCCTTCCCCAGTTCCTGCTGGGAAGTCCTTGCCCTTTCTCAGTGCCTTCTGTGTTTGCCTCACTGTCACACGTGGTCTTGCAGTTCTCAAACATCTTTGTAATTACTTTTCCATATTAAGTATCATCTTTTGAAATACATATTAAGAGCTCTCTTTCCTGATTATGCCCTGACCCATTTTCCTAACTGAATCAACATTTTAGGAGGAGAAAGACAAAGGAGAAAGAAACACTGCAAAAGTAATTCCTTTTCCCAAAGAGAAAGGACTGAATTACTTGTGATTGCAAGTTTAAATTCTCCCATCAAAAACTCTGCATTAGCCCAAGTGGAAACTCAAAAGTTTAAATTTAATTTATTCTTTTTTAGTATACCCCAGTTTGAGATAGTTAAATTTCAACTCTTTTATAAATGTCAATTTTTTAAGCTAGTTATATAAGATTTAATTTCCTGGTAGCAGTATTTTTTAATGCACTGTCATTTTTTTTAAAAGATTTATTCATTTATTCACACAGAACTGGGGTACAGGCCAGAGATGCGGAGGGTGAGAGGATTCACCAGAGGCAGAGTGGGGAGCAGAACAGGCAGACTGATGAAGTACACTGCTGAGGGGAGCAGCAGGTGGTCAGGAGAGGTCTGCCACACCATGTGGATCACCTCTGGGGCAGGCAGGGATTGAACTCATGCAGAAGTGGCTTAAGTTTCTTAGTGCTGTGCTTTAACCCACTGCACCACGAGGGAGAGCCCACTGTCATTTTTTAAAAAGATTTTTGGGGTCCCTCCCTGGTGATGCAGCAAGTAAACACAGCACTAAGAAGCTTAAGCCACTTCAGCACGAGTTCGACCTCCGGTCCTGGAGGTGACCCACATGGTGTCACAGACCTCTCCTCTGACCCACCCACTGCTCCCCTCAGCAGTGTACTTTTTTATTTATGCATACAAGAATTGGGGTACAGGCCAATATATGGGAGGTAAGAGGGTTCACCAGACACAGAGTGGAGAGCAGAACAGGTAGATTAAAATACACTGCTGAGGGGAGCAATGGGTGGATCAGGAGAGGTCTGCCATGCCATGTGGATCCTTCTTGGCCAGGAATTAAACTTGTGTTGCAATGGCTGTGGCTCACTTCATAGTGCTGTGCTTTAACCTGTTATACCACCAGGGAGCACCCTAATGTACTGTCATTTTTATGATATTGTTAGTGTAGCCCTTGTGGCCTTATTTATCCTGTAGAATAAATGCTTTCATGTTACAGTTGATTAAAATGGAGGTGTATTATATACCTCTATGTAACTTGTGCCTGTTACACGCTCTCCCAAGAATGTGGAATTCAGATCCCTATATTGTAGTTAGCCTCTCTTAAGTTCCTTGACTTGGAAGGTGGATTAATACAGATTGTGGAGCAGTAAGTAGTTTTCTCCCTTGCCCAAGCAGAAAAAGTCAATCGGGAGAGAGAGCAAACCAACAATGAAACAGATATCTTGATTGCAAGTAATATTTCATTGAGTGAGCTATGTTGTTTTAAGAAGCAGCGCCATAGATCAGAACTGAAATAGCAATAGATTTACAGAAATCAACTCCCATTCCAACTTGTCTTTGAGTTTTTTTAAGTCTTTCCAACAACTAAATTTAAAGCTACAAGTTCTCTTGTAACAGGGTGGTCCTTAGGAAAAGGGGAAGTTCCAGGTTCCCTGCCCATCCTGAAGGAGGGTGGAACTGATCAGAAAAAAGAAGTGAAGAGAAGCAATCTGAGAGAAGAAGAAAGAGGATGGAGAGCCAGGAGACCTGAGAGAGCCACATGGAGCAGCAAGCATGTGATTGAGAAACCGTGCTTGTTTCTTGGTCCTGGACTGGTTGAGGGCGATGTGGGTGAGAGACCTGTGGGGCAGGTTGACTATGGCAGTATTTATATTGATTTTGATTTTGCTCTTTTCCTCCCAGATTTGTCTGGCCATTTCTGACCCTTTTCCATGGGTCCCGGCCAGAAGGTGCTTTAGTCTTGTGGCAGGCTTTCAGGCCTTGCTTTGGACCAATCCCTTTTGGGTGGACTTTTGCCCATGAGGGGATGGGTAACTTCATTTGATTTAGAAATTATATTCTTTGTCTTCCATATTGTATACTCACTGTATTAAAGTTCCTTTTCATTAAAGTCTTATATGTTTTGTCTTGATGTGGCGGATGGCAGAACCCACTTAGAGCAGGCAGGTTTGGGGGTTCAGTGGTGCCCCTCTCCCTGCCCTGTAACATTCTTTCTTCTTTCTCCCTCTCTCCCTCCTTTTTTTCTTTTTCCTTTTCTTTACTTCACACATTTATTGACATCCTCTGGGCATTAAATCCTGGGCTCATAGCCAAGGCAAAGGCAACTATAACAAGATTAGTTCTGGTATAACAGAAGGAAAAGTCTGACAGTTTAAAAAATTAAACAAAGCCTAATTCTTAGATAAATAGAAGACTCCTCCAGCAGCCATATACACCTATCTTTCTATACATAAAGTTTAGTTCTTCCAGTGCTTCCTCTTCAGTAAATATGT